ATCTTGCATCCATGCATCTTGTTGAAGATGTCCTGTTGGGTAGAGGTATCTTGGGGATTTCAGACCGGGAGTTGACATGCCGGTAGTCGAGCACCCATCGAATTGGAGTGTTCGCGGTTGCTGTCTTCAACCACACGTGACGAGATGGCATTTTACCGTTCTCATCCTTCTTTGGCACTCCAAAGATGTTCGACACCCAATCGCTCGTTGACAACTCAACCCATCCTTTGGCTTTGAGCTTGTTGACAAACTTGTCCAACGACTCTTGCTTCACTTTCGCCAGTCGAAATGGTGCACGAAGCTGTGGCTTCGCATCTGGCTTCATCGTGACGTCAAACTGAACCGCTCGTTCCGGTGGCAGTTCATCCGGTAGTTTCTCCGGAAAGACGTCCTTGAACTCATCGATAAGAGTCTCGATCTCTGCTGGTCGTTGCTGTGTTTGTGCTTGGACTTCACAAACCTTGACCATCCATCCAGTCGACTCCGTCGACATCGCATTGGCTTCTACTTCTTCCTCAATCGAAGTGATTTCACTCTTTCGCCAATCGATAACTGGATTGTGCTTCGCAAACCAAGGTACACCCAGGATAACGTCAAAGTCCTTGTCTTTCAAGTCCCACTCTGTCATTACTGTGTCCTTAAATGAGAACTTGTCGACCTTGATCGTTTCCATGACTTCTCGCGTATTCGTCATAGGTGACCACACGTTGTCATACGCAGCAATGCGCACTGACTTGTTGCGAATGATGTTGGTTCCCAACCCAACTCGACAAAGTGAATCCGTCGCTCCAGAATCCAACAACACTTCACATCTTTGCCATTCATTACACCCGACTTAATCATCAACGCTGGTGACTTCTTTCCAGCTTCGGGCTCGACTTGAACAACCGTTCCCACAGCCCCCTTGTCGTCGTTCACTTCCTTGACGACTCCAAACGAGATGCACTCAACATCATCGTTCGACACTTGCTCCTGGACTTCGAAGTTGTTCTCGTGGCTGGGCGGTGCCTGCCTTGATATCTTCTTGGGCTTCCGACATTCTGTCGCGATATGCCCCAACTTCTGACAGTTGTAACAGCGAATCTTGCTGCTGTCCTTCCTTTGACTTCCTTGCATCTTGACATTGTCCACTTCCATGTCTGTGGACACTTGCGACTCCAAACGCGGTACATGTCCTTCGCGCTGGCCGCTTCCATAGTCCGTCCGATTCCATCGGTTCGTCTTGTTGGGACGCTTCATCGACGAGACTGAAACAGAATGTGCACGTTCATACTCCAACGCCGCCTTGATTGCTTCAGACAAGGTCTTGCTTTGACGGTACTTCACTTCCTCGCGGGTCTTCAATTTTAACCCTCGAATGAAGAACGTCACCTTGTCCAGCTCTGACATCTCCTGCACATCCGTGCAAACACGACGGAATCGATGTACTCGACTAAGTCTTTGCACCCCTTCTGCTGCAACGCAAACAGACGGTCACGTAGCCGCTCTTGTAGATCACTCGGTTCGAACTCTTCACGCAAACCGTGTTCAAACTCCGCGAGTGTCGTAAACCCATGACCTTGCGACGCTAGCTCTTGATACCATGCAGCTGCTTGCCCTTGGAGGTTCGCAACAACCATCGCTAGACAGCGTGCTTCAACCGTTTCGTCGGTTTCGTACGTCAAGTTTTTCGCCGCAAAGAACGTCTTGACGCGATTGATGTATAACCTGCTGCTCTCGTTCAAATGCCCATGGTACGCTGGCATTGAGAGTCCCTCGACACGCCTTTCAGTGTCACGTGGTTGGCTTCTACCCTGATCGCCGTTACTAGACACACATTGAAGTAGCGCTGCTTGCATGTCCTGCTGCGCCTTCAGTTGATTCTCCTGTTGCGCTTGTTGATTTGCCAACGCTTGCGCTTGTGCTTGGGTTTGAGCCTCCAGCAGTTGTTGGATCATCTGCTGTTGGTGCTCCATAGTCCCAACTAACCTCGCAAACACTTCCTCCATGATTTCGATTGGAAAAAAGGTTTTATTACAGGCTCGCTAGGTAATCAACTAAGTCTTCCTTAATGTCGATCTTCGGTTTCTTCGCTTCGATCTTCAATCGCTTCGGTTACGTATCCGGACGACAGACTTAAAGTTGCTTGGACCTTGATAAGTTCGTCGAGAGCGTACTTAATACGGTTGCTATTTAAGCCGCTGTTCACGTTTCGCAGGTCTCGCTGAAAAGGCTCGTTCACTCGTTCCACTGTTCGGATCTTCTCGATCAGACTCTTTCTAATTGCGTCCAAGTTCTCGACGTCGATTTGTTCGAGATAGTGGATGGCGTTAAATGAGACTAACTCCCTCTGACTCGACGCCTTGCGCTTGAGGATGTTCTGGTCCCGCTGGATAACCTTTCTACTCGCCGCTGCCGCTCGCTCCGCTTTCCTGAATTCCTTCTTTACGCGTGACTTATTCTTGCCCATGCACGGGTTTCGTTGGCAGTGACTCTTCACACGCACCAAATGTCCCTTTCCCAACGGTCGACTCTGCCCCTACCGACCCTGATGCCGGATACTAAGGAGAGTACTGTCGAGGGAAAAGAAACACTTAGGCGATCGCTAGCTCTACACTAGTCGCTACGAAAGGTCGCCGTTGAACCTTTGCCTGAACTAGATTGAGTAACCTTAAAACATCCGAGCTATGCCCCTCGGTGTAAGTCCTTGCTGTCGAACTGAACTGAACAGAACCAGGAAGTGCTACCAAATGTAACGGTAGCGAGCTTCACTGAGTAAATTGGAAAGTGATTAGATTGTCGTCTTAAACTACTAACTACGAAAATGTATGC